GTGCAGGTGTTGGGTTCGCCCCTGAGTAGGGCCAGAGGCAATATTTCTGGTTAATTTTCATTCACAGTAATTATATTTTACTTAGTGTTAATTGGATAAGTACAATTTAATTTGATTTTAATTGGATAATTTTACTTTAATTTGATTTTAATTAGGTAATTGTTTTTTGATTTCATATCAATTAAGGTACAGTGTTGAAAAATGATGATCATCGCATGTAATTGTTAGTTGTTAAGGTGGAATAGTTACAAATTTAATGAAATGATAAGGACCATCAATTTTGGTTGTCATGTATAGATTTTCGTCAATTTACAAGACATAATTGGATGCAGGTACTCATTGAAATCACATTAAGGTAGTTATTCATTGATCAAAACTGAAGTTGATTTATAAAAACAAAATGTAAACCTTTATTTCCTCACTTAGTGTAAAATAATAATTTCTTATAAAACTATTACAACATGTGAGACCAAAGAACGAGATGTTTAACAACCAATCTCCAATATAAATAATGCAAAATTCTTTAGTGGTTTTTTTTTTTTTTGGGGAATAGAAAAATATTAGGGTGGAGGAGCGAATCTAGGAGTTTGAGTCAACACGGGCGACCGTTGATCATTTTTCATTGGCTGCAATAAAATATTAAGAATTCTTTTGATACCCATTTTTATTTTTGCAAAAAATGCATTTTGAATTAGTGATTTGATGGAGAATGTATGACTAAAAATAAAGAATAGTTTCTTTTGAATTTACGTGTAATATTATTTTATTTAAGAACGTATGGATGAAAAAACGTATTTTAAAAAAAAGGGGAGTCGAATAAAGTATAAAGTATAAATATAACAATTATTTTGTTCAAATTGAACATATATAATTATGTTATAAGAATCAACAGAATTCATCAAATAACATTATTGCCAAGTTTTGTATAATACAAAGGAAGAGTGTGAATTCGAATATTTAAAATTGTTTGCATTAAAATAGTCAAAACATAACAAATATTATTTTGTTAAATCTAATGACAAAATTTAAGGGGGACCATAATGGTTAAGTTTGCAACAATTCTTACTTGAGATCTCCAGTTCAAATCCTCACTGTTCCTTTCACTGTTGAATTTTTCTAAAAACTATAGAAACAAAATAAAACGTAACAAATCCATTCATAGAGGACTTAAACTTGAGACCTCAAGCATGTTTCAACCGACTCTCACCAACTCAGCTACAACCGATGTTTTGAAAATAAAATGTATTACCAAAAATATAAGGTAAAATTTTAACCTATTGTTAAAAAAAAAAAATTTCTCCCAGCGAATCCAGCTAAGGCAACCAGCCACCACTTAGATCCACCACCGTTAGGGTGTGTTTTGGTTGTTGTTTCAAGCTAGTTTCAATTTTTAGATTTGCAAAATACTAAAAACGTGTTTGGTCTAGTATTTTTGAAAATGTATTTTCGAATTGATGTTAAGATTATAACAGAAAACTCAAAATGCATTTTTTGATGAGCGTTTTTGGTAAAAATTATGAAAACAATCAAAATATGGAAAAAAAAAAAAAAAGCTTTTGAATAAAACTTCAAAAATAAAAATTTTAAAAAATAAAAATATAAAATTCTAAAGAAAAAAATAAAAATTTTGGAAAAATAAATTCTAAAATCTAAATAATAAAAAATCTGGAAAATAAAGTTATAAAAATTTTTAGAAAAATAAATTTATAAAAAATTAAAAATAAAAATAATCGAAGCTTTACATAATGATTCAAAAAATGATTTTTAAATGGACATAGATAAAAATATTATGAGTCCATGTCAATAATTTTTATTTTCTATATTTTGAACTCAATTTATTATTTATTTTTATTTACCTTTATAGCGAGAAAAAATATTGTAAAATTCACCAATTTTAAAATGTGTATATTACTTAATAATATATCAGCACAAAATTTTTCTATTTTTACTAAATATTAAAATTTCATGGAATAAATATCATTAAATAATTTTTCAAATTTCTAACCAAACGTGTTTTCTAATTTTTTGTTTTAAGAAATTACATTTCAAAATGGCAAACCAAATATGCTTTTAACAATTCTAAAACAGAGTTTCAAAAAAGAAAAATAAAATAAACTCAAAATTGAAACACAAATCAAACGGATCTTTAATTCTTAGGATTACATAGAAATTGAGGGTTATTTATTTCAATATATTTTTCATGATAAATAGATACAAAAGGATAAGAAATACATCAAAGAATGTATATGAGTTAGTATTCACTATGGCAGTCCTTTTTGGTAAAAAAGTAAAGCTATATGCATAAGATCTTTTAATTATATTCTTTTGGACAATTTCTTATGTAAAACAAATGATATTTGTCTACTGAACATATCAAATTAGATGCATAGATCTAGCCAGAGGTGGAGGGAGAGCAGCCCTGGGCTTTAGCTCAGTGTTACCCCAAGTCCATTTAAAATTTCCTACATATATAAAAGAGGCAAACTCTTCCAAGACACGTGTCGCAATTTCCCATTATCACTCTCTCTCAAGTTTTCCATTACTTTACGCAGTATCACTTCTCCACTCCACAAGCTCATGCCAAAAAGCAGCACTGACGAAATGTACTTCACGCAGCGCCCCATACCTCTTTGCTCTTCAATTTACTTTACACACCGCCCCATATCATGCAAGATTTCCCCCACACAGGATTCTGCTTTAATCTTTGCAAATTCCATTGCCCTCTTTGAATACCTCTTCATTAAGATCCGCGCAGTAGTGATTCCAGTTGTAGCAATATGGGAAGTATTGATTTTCACGATGTCCGGATGTTTTGAATGATGGCAATCGTATACCGCAGGAAGAAATTGATTCACGAG